TAAATATGTGTGTGTGTGTGTGTGTGTGTGTGTGTGTGCATCGAAGTAACTACAGTCTTGAGACTACTGAGACATAAGTATACCAACACCACATGAAACAAGGTTTTCCTTGGCTGTTTAATGACTTATAGAAAATTGTTTGCTCCTGAGATTAACATTCCTAAATAGGATTGAGATATTGGATAAGAAGATATTACTAACACCAATTAATGAATCAAAAATGTTGAGAAAAAAAATGAAAGCCAATGGTAATTTATTTTATTGCAAGCAACATCCATTCAGAATTTTTAAAATTTTTTGTCATTATTACAAATTGCTAATAAACATTCTCCACTTAATTAAAGAAAACCAAATAAATAATTTAGAATTATATCTGGCCAAAATATTTTCAGCAAGGAATTGCTTAAGAGACCAAAAGGATACTGTACATTGTGTAATAGACCACAGAAACAGTGACATTTGTATTTAACTATGGTGGTAAAATACTTACAGAGTTCTTACATAAAAGAATATTTTAATAAAGGTTCATATTGGAATATCAGCTAAAATGGAGATGTGACATTGTTTTAAATTTTTTTCTATTGAGCTATAACTCACATATCATTAAATCTACCCTTTCATAGTGTATGATTCAGTGGTTTATAGTACATTCTCAGATTGTAACCATCTCCACTGTCACACTTTAGAACATTTTCATACCCCAGACAGATACCCGTGGTCATTACCACTCACCTCCCCACTTCCCACCCCCAGCCCCTGGCAATGAAACATGATAGCCTTCAAGTAGAGTTCGTTCTTTAGCAAAATCACAGGGCTGGGGAAAACCTCAGGAAACAATCTACTTCATTTCATACCCTTAAGAGCTTTTACAGGGAGAGGCACACCTTCTATGGTAGCTACTGTGCACTTTAAAAATGAACATGTGTGAAGTAGCCACATAATATCCATGTAATACTTGGTAAGATGATTTTTGCCATCCAGATCTCGCCTGTCCTGAATTTTAGGAGGGGGCGGGGGATGTAGCTCAGTGGCACAGCGCCTGCCTCACAAGCACAAGGTCCTGAGTTCAATCCCTGCTACCAAAAAAAAAAAAAATTTTTTTAGGAGGAACTTGGGAGTCTTCATAGCTTATTAGTAGAGGGATTTATTTAATCTATTTTGCAGCTATGTTTTCAAGCTGGGATCCAACCTTAATGGTTTTATGAGATATTAATAAATTCAAGATATTCTCAGATTTATTATATAATCTGACGTTTTTTTGGTGTTTTGATTACTTTACTTTTAACGTGAGCATTCAATTTTTTCTTCCTTTCCACAAAAACAGGTTAAACTACTTTAGGGTAATCAGCATACTGTGCTTTAGTTATTACTTTGCCATCACAAATTCTATTGGGAGAAACACAGTGGCCTTGAAGAGCTCACTGAGATGTATGCTGTGCTCTACAAGCAGGCTGTTCTTCCTTTACACCAAGAAGGCTCTTAAGAGCCCTGATCAGAGAAATGTGCTGTTCTATAAAAACAAATGTAAACTACAATTTGTGTAGAATAGCAAAAAAAAATTCTCTTCCCCTAAATCTGCTGTTATACTTTGGCAGTATCAGTAGTTAATAAAAGCATCTATTTTACATTTGTGACCAGAAAAGGGAAAGTATTAGCATGAAACTGCATTGTCAAAGAAGGTTTGCTAAAGCTGGAATTTTTAAAAGATATTTTTGCTTATTAGTAAGCAATTCTCTGAATTATGTCTTTACAGAGGAGTTTATAGATTTCAGACTGAAAGAGGAGTAAGTTTAAGAGGATTTTGGGGGGAACAGGAATAGGCAGAGGTAGCCACAGATGTGTACCCATTTGGAGTAGATACAGGACGATTGAGGGGGCATTTTGCTTCTATTTCAATTTTGTTCTAAACTTTTTGTTGATAAAAAATAAACTTTTAAATTGAAGTGTAATATATAGAAAACTGTACAGATTATGAGTATACAGCTTAATGATTTTTTCACAAATTTAGGACATGTCTGCAATTAGCACCCAGATCAAGATAGGGAATGTTACCAATACCCAAGGAGCCTCCCTTGTTTGAGATCTGGAGTTGATTTAGACTGAATGCAAGATAGCATTTATTCCAAATATGTTTAAGACATTGCTAGGTGAAAACAACTGTGTATATCGATGTGTGGACATCTGTGGAGGTGTGGGCGTGTGTGTACCCATGTGTGTATGTGCACCAGGGGCAGTTATGGTCTCTGCAGCAATTGTTCCTAACTACCTAACTGCTGAGTTCACTCTCTGCCCCCTCTCCAAGTGGAGTGAGATGATTTTGTGCATTTGAGTCACCTGGCCTCTAGAACCAGCTCAAGCTGTCTTCCATTCTTTTTCTCCCTCAAAGCGGTCAGCTCTGTGCCCGTGGATAACAGAAACCACAATGAAGAAGTGGTAAGTTGAAGCATTAGTCTAGAATCTAGACTTTGTCTGGGCTCTAGATTCTTCCATACCCTATCATACCAAACCGAATACACACAATGCTGGGTTTTCACTCAGAAGGAATAGGAGCAAGGATGCCTCTCCCAGTCTGAGGTCTCACATCCCTCCTGGAGGGCCTAGTGTCCCCGAGCATAGCTGTGATATCACAGCAGTCTCTCTCCGATCTGTTCAGAAGTGGGTGTTTATTTCCCTTCTCGAGGTAATCACAGCTCAGTGCCTCCTTGCACCATCCTGTGTAGGACTAGGGCCTTGGGAGGCTTTACTGCAGCCTTGTGAGCCTGAGTCTCTGCCCTAAGCATCCTACATCAGCACAAGTCACAGACTAGCCTCTCCGGAAGCAGCTCTGGGTTGAGTCAGAGTCATGATGACGCCAGCTTCTCCAGCCCACTTTTGTGTTTTGCCCAGGTGACTCGCTGCATCATCGAGGTTCTCTCAAATGCACTGTCCAAGTCCAGTGTTCCACCCATCAGCCCCGAGTGCCGGCAAGTCCTGAAGAAGAGTAAGTGTCACTGTGCACAGACCCTTGTCACTGCATGATCTCGGCTCCTGCTCCCTCCACTTCCCCTCAAGTGAGCTCGGAGACATCCCGGGTGTTGGCTGACTAGGCTAGAACTTGGGGAGACAGAAATTGGTCTTCTAGTCGTTGCTCTACTTCTTAGTAGCTGTGTGGCCATGGGGAAGACTCCTTTCCTCTCTGGGCTTCTTTATTCAAAGTAAAATGAAGGAGGTGAGCTTAATGATAGTCTGTCAATTCTTAAATTCCTTGGACTCATATTTTCGATTTTTATTTTTGTTTCATTTTATGGTACTGGAGATTGAACCCAGGACTTTTACACTGAGCTACTTTCCTAACCCTTTTTATTTACTTTTGATTTGAGACAGGGTCTCATTAAGTCATTAAATTACCCAGCTGGGTTCAACCTTGTAACCCTCCTGCCTCAGCCTCCCAAAGTGCCGGGATTACAGGAGTGCATCTGCACTCCCAGCATAGTTTAGAATTTTAGAACAGGCCTCCATGTGGGTGGAGGGAGGTATGGAAAGTGCTTGTTTGTGAATAGAGGAGGAGGAGGGGCTGGTTGTGGGGGTCTTGGAATATAAAAGGATAGAGTAACACCTCTTGGTATTTAAATATTGCCTTGGAATTTGAGTTGAGTAAAAATGCTGTCTGTTTGGGCCGAACAGAACTCATTTCTGGGCCACCAGTTTGCAACTTCTGTGCAGTTTTAGTCCTCTCTCTCTCAGCAGTATGTCATAAGTGAACCGAAAGACTCGAGCTTTGGCCAACAGGATGGATGAATTCCTCCCCGAGGCTTTGGCCCCATTCTGAACCCATCTCCACTTGCACGCTTCCCGTCAGCTCACACTGAGCCAGTGAGCATTTGGGCAGAAGGGAAGAGTCAGTGTTTTACTGCTGGAAGAGACTTCAGTGAATACATAGTCCCATTTCTCAGTGGGTGTAAATCAGACCTCTCTGACCAGGGCTGACTCGGTCATCTTTGAAGCATGACAAGGATGAAATATGCATTTTTCCCCTGTTAACTTGAAAGTAAGGGTGAGCTTCACACCTTGGTTTTACAGATTGACAGTGACTGTGCGCTGCTAATCACAGCCCTGTTCCAATCTCACCTGCAAGGGCTTAACGCTAAATTTAGGAGCAAGTGCTAAGCCTCAGGCCGAGATACTACAGGCAGTATACCATTAACTGAGAAAAACCAAAAAACTTCTGTTCCTGACACTTCTGAGCCACACACACCGGCAGACGGTAGGAAAGGGCACAGGGCTTCTGTTCTGGAGGCTGAGATCCTGTCTAATAAGTTCTCCTTCAGCCCCTTAGCTCAGGATGCTATCACCAGAGACCGGGCAGCTTCTACAAACATTTGTTTCTCACAGTGGTAGAGGCTAGTGTGCAAGATCAAGGTGTCTGGTGAGGCCCACTTCCTGGCTTTAGACTGCCACCTGTTCACTGTACCCTCGCACAAGCTCACATCTCTTCTACCTAGCACCAACCCCACCACTGGGGCTGTTCATGGCCAAAGTATCTTCCAAAGGTCCCACCTCCCAGTACCACTGGGCACGAGGACTCCACATATGAATGTGGAGGTAACGCACACAGCCTCCCTGCTTACCTGTGCCCATGTGCTAGCCCTGCACCCATGCTATACACAACATCCGGGCTTTCGACAGGTCAGCCTGCCCTCAGGTACCTGGATGTGGAAGTTCAGGTACTTTCCCATTGCCTCATAAACATGAGACTGTTATTATCACACGAGGCCAGGCTTTAAATAGTACAGGACAGTCCTCTATTTTCTGGATTTTGTTGTTGTTGTTTTGAGGCAGGGTCTCCCTTTGTAGTTCAGGCTGTCCCTGAACTCACTGTGTAGCCCAGGCTGTCCTCAAACTCTTGGCAATCCTCCTGCCTCTGCCTCCTGAGTGCTAGGATTACAGGCATGAGCCACCAGGCCTGGCGCTTTTCTGGATGTTTTGATAAAACAGATCAATTGTCTTCCCTTTTGTAAAAATCAGTTCGGAAATGACTCATCAGTGCCATTTGATACAAATATAAGAAGAGCCAAAATATAGTTTCAAATTTCCTAGTAACAAAATTTAAGAAGTAAAACAGGTAAAAGTATTTTCAATAATATATTTTATTTTTATACAATATATTTCATCTAATGTTGAATATATATGAATGTATCTGTACTATTTATTTATTTTATTTTATTTTTTTGGTACCAGAGATCGAACTGAGGACCTTGCGCTTGTGGGGCAGGTGGCAGAACCACTGAGCTAAATCCCTGGCCCACCTGTACTGTTTATTTAATGTATAAAAATATTATCATTTTGCACAGCTAAAGACTACAAGGAACTGAGCAAAAGAGGGGAAAAGAAAATGCTGTGAAACAGTGGGAGACAGGGAAGAGAACCAGTGGGGAGAGCAAGCTAAGCAACAGAGAGACCTATAAGACTCAGAACATAGTTGGTCCCACAATGACTGCACCAGAAATAGAAAAGAGCCAACCTAATAGTCCAAGAAATTAATTTTGGTAGGTGCTTGAATACATATTAAATCTTGCAAAGCCATCTTTGCTTCTGTAAATGAATAGGATTTGAACTAAGTACAGAACCAAGTTGTTTTGCTCTGGATAAAAAGCAAGTGATGCCAGAAATTACATTATCAGTTTAATTTGTTGTACATCTGGTGAACATTAACATACCTAAAGCAAATCAAAAGTCATGAGAAAATTGCTAGGATAATCCAACACCTCAAGATCAGAAGTCTTGATCACACTGTGTCAACAATAAGCTATGCTAATTTTAATTTAGAATATTTTACTTTTTGGAAAATTCTTCTGAAAAAGACCAGCATTTAATGAAACAATAGTTTGATTATGACACCTACTAAGTAAACTTTTACTAAATTGTAGGCACTCCATAAAATCCATTATAGTATGAAATTAATAGAATACTCAATTTTATGTAAATGAGTAGAAAAATATTCTTGGTAAATAATTTTCTGAAATTAAGATTTGTTCTTACATTATAGAGAAAAAAATATTATCATTTCAACATATAGTCAGTACAGAAAATTATTGAGACATTTTACATTCCCCCTCCCACCCATGACGTTTTGGGAAGCTGGTGTGTATCTTACCTGCGTTGGCCACAGTTCAAGTGCCCCATAGCCACAAAGGGCTGGTGGCTGCTACAACGGACAGTGTGGACATTCAGCGACCTTGGCTTCAGGCACCCTGTCTGTTCACTGACACAAGAAACCCAAGCCTTCCCAGCTAACAGTGGAGAGAGTGTCAACTGAGTGTCTCCTTTCATGGGTGCCCTTGAGTTATGGAGAACTTAGTGAAAGAGCTATTGATATTTGCAAAAGATAGGAGAGAACAGCAAAATATCAGTTACCTCATCTCCTGCTGACTCATGGAACACAGCTCAGGATACTACCGTTTATCCTTAGCATCAAAAATACATGGAGAAGGGCTGGGGATTTAGCTTAGTGGTGCCGTGACTGCCTTGCAAGTGCAAGGTCTTGAGTTCAATCCCTGGTACTGGGGGGGAAAATTTACAAATACCTGGAGAGGGTGGGACCTACATGCAGGTCCTTTCTATGGCCATGCAGTTTTCTCAGGGAGGAAATCGAAGCCATCTTATCAATTTGTAATGCATCATCAGGCTATTTGTTGTCCAAACACCACAAAGTGTACTTACACAAACAAAGACAGCCGTGACTTCATCAGGTGATATAATCTTACAGGCCATCATGGTACAAGCTGTCTGTTGTTGGCTGAAACATGCAGCCCTGCAGCCCATGACTGTTCTGAGATCAGTTGTCATTTGCTGCTAAGTTGAGTCAACATAGTGAATGGATGATAAAGTCTGATAAACAAATAATTAAATTTTAAATCTTCCTTTGTCTCTTGATATTTCCCTTTTGGCTACTTAACTTTAGCTAGGTTATAGTTAGAGCCATTCACATGATGCTAACTTTTTTTTACCCTACTTATAGTAAATATGGAAAGAATGATCTTGAATTATACCACTGAGTCTCAATGTGCTCCATGTCTGCAAGTAAAGGGGATTGGACTGGATGAATTCTAAGATTTCTTCTGGTTCTAAATTCTAACATTTCATAAATATGTATCTGGATTTCAAAGAGATCATTGATCTCTGAGTGTTAGGCTGGTTGGGTGTTATGAAAATTTAAAAATATAGAGAGCTTATCATTAGTTTTAAGCTATGTCAAGGAGCTCCCATAGTATTTGCGTCTAACAGGAATGTGAGTATATTCTTTATTCACTTAAACAGTTAATAAAGACCCAGGATTTGCAGTGGTTTACCAAGGCGGGTACTTGTTGAACCCGAGCATCTCTGAGGTTATATTTACTCTGCTGTTTTCATTATAGGTGGAAAAGAGGTCAAAGATGATGAGAAAAGTGAGAATGAAAACAAAAAGTTTGAAGTAAGATTGTTAAGAGACCCAGGTGATGCCACAGAAGCCCACAGACTCTCCAGCAGGGAGGAAGCTAGAGCCCCAGGGGAGGTAGACACTCAAGGCCAGACAAAGACTGACAGGGAGAAATGGGAAGAGGGAAGCAAACACAGCCAAGAGGGCATGGATGAGTCTTGGGGGAGTCTCTATCCCTCCAAGGACAATGGCCAAGGATCTGAAGAAGCCAAGGTACACTATTCTGAGAAGAGCGAGAATGAGGGCAGGGAGGAAGAAGAGGGAGAGGACCATCAGAAAGGGGAGCATGGGGAAGATGCCAGTGAAGGGAGGCACACTGAAGAGGCAGGAGAGACACAGAATGCCCTTCTCAACAAAAGAAGCCAGGCTTCAGCCAAGAAAAAAGAGGAGTTGGTGGCCAAATCAGATACCCACTCTGCTGGGCTCCCTGAGAAGACACACAGCGGGGAGAAGAGCAGCCAGGAGAGTGAAGAGGAGGTGAGAAGCCAGGAGAAATCCCCTCAAGAGTCTCACAGCCAACCTCGGAGCCAGGAAGAATCGGAGGAAAGTGAGGAAGATGCTACCTCTGAGGTGGCCAAACGACACATGAGGCCCAGACATCACCATGGGAGGACCAGGCCTGACAGGTCCTTTCAAGAAGAGAATCTTCCTTCTGAGGAAAAGGGACAGGAATCTAAGGAGGCAAACATGGCCATGACCAGTTTAGAACAGAGAGACCACCACTCTACCCATTATCAGGCATCAGAGGAAGAACCTGAATATGAGGAAGAAGCAAGGGGTTATCCAGGTGTCCAGGCTCCTAAGGACCTGGAGGGTGGACAATACATGGGCAGAGGAAGTGAGGAGTACAGGTCTCCAAGGCCTCACAGTGAGGAGAGCTGGGAGGAGGAGGACAAGAGAAACCGCCCCAGCTCAGAGCTTAACAACTTAGTGCAGGGATATAGTGAAGGGAGTGAGGAAGAGAGGGTCCATGAGGCAGGGAAGGGACACCATTACAGAGGGAGAGGAGGGGAACCAGGTGCCTATTCTACTCCTGACACCACAGAAGAGAAAAGGTTCTTGGTTGAAGGACATCATCATGTTCAGGAAAGTCAGATGGACAAGGCAAGGAGACATCCACAAGATGAGTGGCAAGAACAGGACAGAAATTACCTCAATTATGGTGAGGAAGGAGCCCAAGAAAAGTGGCAGCAGCGGGAGGACCTCCGAGACCCTAGAGAAAACAAGGAGGACGATAGGCTTCAAGACAAACAATATGTCTCCCATCACATCACTGAAAAGAGGAAGAGATTAGGGGTGCTGTTCAACCCATACTTTGACCCTCTCCAGTGGAAGAACAGCCATTTTGAGAGAAGAGACAACATGGATGACAATTTTCTTGGCGGTGAAGAAGAAAATGGGCTGACCTTGAATGAGAAGGCTTCCTTCCCAGAATACAGCTATGACTGGTGGGAGAAAAAGCCCTTCTCTGAGGATGTGAATTGGGGATATGAGAAGAGAAGCTTCCCTAGGGCTCCCAAACTGGACCTGAAAAGGCAATATGACAGGGTGGCTGAGCTGGACCAGCTCCTTCATTACAGGAAGAAGTCAGCTGAATTCCCCGACTTCTATGACGCCGAGGAACAGCTGAGCACACGCCAGGAGGCAGAAAATGAACAGGAAGGGGCTGACCATCTGACGGAGGAAGAGGTACAGAGTAGGGATTTTGTTTAAAATTAACTTATGATGATTAAGGTTAATATGCTGTGTTCAACATTATCTGATAATAATGGGGAGAGACTGGCGTTTTTCACCATGAGAATGTAGCCCTAGTAACTGAGGGGAGGCCACTTCTGCGGTTGACTTCCACCCACCGTGTAGTTGTATTCCACTTCCCTGGCCTCCGCTCTCTATGGTAGTATTTCTCTACCTCGTTTGCACATTGGAATCAGTTAGAGAGCTGGGAAAATTCCCACGTATAGGGTCCACCCCATGATTCTGTCTAATCAGTACTGGGTGCTGCCTGATATTTCAAAGATCCCAGTGATTCCAGTGTCCAGCCAACACTGACAAGCACTGTTCCCGAGTCTTCTTGATCATTTGACTGATCACTACCCTTCTGTGTAGGAAGATCAGGCAACACAGAAATCAGTTGTTTCGGCCTGTATTAGTTTATGTCCTACTACAATAAGAATTTACATCTGGAAAAGAGAATATTATCAAAGCTGTACCTTCCCAACCAATGTTTTATTTCTAATACTGATTATGTTGGTCGTTGGTTCTCAAACTTGAATGTGCTTCAGAATCATGTGGGTTTTCTAACCTTCAGGGGTTGTGATTCAGTAGTTTTTGGGTGTGTCTTAATCACTTCTCTGAGACACAATACCTGACACCCACCACTTAAAGGAGGAGAAGTTTATGTGGCTCATGGTTACAGACCATGGTTGACCGGCTCCATGGCAGAAATGGCCTGGCAGAGGGGTGGAGTGGAGGAAAGCTGCTCACACCATGGCAGCAAACACATAGCGGGAGAAGGGAAGCACCGGGAGGGAGACGCACCCTTCCGGGTCACATCCCCAGTGAGCCCCACTTCCAACAGCATGGGCAGCTGCTGAACTTACCAGTGCATGAACCTAACAACGAGTGCAGTGCCCCCCATCTAATCACCTTTCCAGAAGCCCCACCTCTGAGCTAATGAGAGTTTGGGAGAACATTCTAGATCTACACCTTCCCCAAGGTCGGCCCCAAGAATCTGCATATTTTTTTCTTTTGGTACCAGGGATTGAACTCAGGTCCTTGCGCTTGCGCAGCAGGTGGCAAAACCACTGAGCTAAATCCCCGGCCCAAGAATCTGTATTTTTGACAAGTTCCTTGGGGTTACTGAAGCTGTCAGTCTGGGGATCCCCCCTCGAGAACACTGATGAAGGTTGACTCATGTGGCCTCTAAACATACCTAAAATTTCCTTGCTACTTATACTGTCTCAAACAAAAGCAATATAAAGTGACCTGGAACCTCATGTCTCCCCTTTTCTATATTTTTCAGGAGAAACAACTTGAAAACTTGGCTGCGATGGATTTGGAATTACAGAAAATAGCTGAGAAGTTTAGTCAAAGGGGCTGATGGTTGCTTGAACGACCAACATTTTCAAGAAATAGCCCTTATATTACCTATTTTCTACCACTTTGCTCAAAGACACCATTTATTTACTCAGTCAGAAAGTAGAATTTACTATTCCTTAACGTTTGACACAGTTGGAAATGTCCTTGATTTTTGCCAGAATGCTATGAAAACATGAATAGCATGACCTGTAGAATATTCTTTCTTGCAAAATAGACATATAATATGCTTGCGACAATGACTGTGCTGCTGTCTTTCATAATATGTTTGTCTAAGTTTGAAATAATGAAAGATTCACCTAGACCAAAAGCATCATGCTTCTCAGCCTCCTTTGGGCTAACTGGGAGGGGGTGTGACTTTCATATCCATTCTTTAAACTTGAAAGATGGTACTAGGATTTGTTGGTCTTTGGATGCATAACAAAAAAAAAGCAAGGGCTGGGAATTTAGCTCAGTAGCGCTGTGCCTGCCTCACAAGTGCAAGGTCCTGAGTTCGATCCCTGGTACCGGAAAAAACAAACAAACAAAAAAACATGATGTTTCTAGTATGACTATCTTAATAACCATTGTAATCCCAGCACTCAGGAGGCTGAGGCAGGAGGATCTCCATGAGTTCAAGGCCAGCCTGGGCTACATAGAGTTCTGGGCCAGCCTGAACTACAAAGGGAGACTCTGCCTCAAAAAGAAAAAAAAAAAAAAAAAAGAGCAATCTGTCCTAAGTAAAACAATACACAGGATATAAACAGAAAGATATCGGGGGAAAAATTTTTGCTGCAGCAGACTGAGTGATTAGACTTGAAGAATAGTTTCAATAATTGTAAGGTATTACTTTAAAGAGCCCATAAGCTGGGAGGCTGGGGCTCAGTGGTAGAGCACTTACCTAGCATGTGCTGGGCCTGGATTCAGTCCCAGTGCTGAGAGGGATGAGGGAAGGAAGTGTGAAAAGGCAATGCAGCCACCCCTCATGATTAGTCTGGCACCGCAGTGGATGACTATAGTTCCAGCTGCTTGGGAGGCTGAAGCAAGTGGATTGCTTGAGCCCAGGAGTTAACTCACAGACCAGCTTAGGCAACACAGTAAAACCTCATCTCAATAAGCTGGGCCTGGTGGCTCATGCCTGTAATCCCAGCACTCGGGAATCTGAGGCAGGAGGATTGCCACAAGTTTGAGGCCTGCCTGGGCTACATAGTGAGACCCTCAAACAAAACAAAACAAAAGCGCAAGGACCTGAGTTCAATCCCCGGTACCAAAAAACAAAAACAAAAAAACCAAAACCAAACCAAAACAAAACAAAACAAAAACCCCTCATCTCAAGAAAAATTAAAATTACAAAATCCTCTAAACTGTGGAGTTCTATAGAGCTCTAGGAGTAGCCAGCCAGGGACCATTTTCCCCAGGAAAAAAAGAAAGGCTGGATAATAGGAGGTGCTCCGGACTGGGAGTCGAACTCCTGGTCCACCCGGACAGATCCGTGGCCCCTTCCTCCAGGCTTGTGCCAGTTCCACCCTGTGAGAAGATGGAGCTCTGACTCTGTCAGCAAGCGGAGCAAGTCACTTTCCCTCTCTGAATCCCAGGTTTGCCAGTAAAAGAAAGAGCTGTGGCACTGGGTTGCTACAAATGTGATAGGAGTTCGTGCAAAATACTGGGCACAGTGCTTGGTATATGCCGACAGCAGAGGGGTGCTGGCTGCTGCCGCTGTGATCCCTGCAGCGTCTTATCACAAGGCAGTCGGACACTTCCTTTCCTCGCCTTTACCTCCCGCTATTCCTCGCCAGGAGTGTCGGCCTGTCATTCCTACTGTTTGGCACTGCAGGCAAAGAGCTGTTCTCTGGGAGGAGGCAAACGTGTAGGAACGTGGTGGACTTAGCCACCCAGAAAGTCCTGATGGTCCTTTCTGTGAGGTCAAGATTGACTGGGAGAATGTAACCAGATGCTTTCCAGGTGAGCTCCAGACAGACTTTCCTGGGTGAGTCGTGGCTTTATCAGACAGGAGCACGCTGATCAGTTTTGTGCTGTTGGCAGCAGATCGTTCTGACCTGAAAACATGTTTCTAGATGGCTGAGTGCTCACGAGTGCTCTCTCCCTTTGCCTTTCTGTCTGTCTCCCTGTCTCTCTCTCTGCCTCTCTCTCTCTCCTCTCCCCTCTCCTCACCGCCCTCTCTCTCTTCTCTCTCCCTGGGTCTCCTTTCCTGGCAATGGCACCGGGACTGGCTGCTTGCAGAGGCCAGTGAGGGGCACTGGAGGTAGCCCTCATCGTAGACAAGAGGCTTGACAGATAAATGCTCACCAGCTTCCCAGAGCTGCCAGGTCAAGGTACCCCAACAATGTGTCTTCGAACAACGCGGTCTCTCATGGTTCTGCAGGCCACAGGTCCAAAATCAAGACGCTGGCAAGGCTCGAGAGGAGTCCTTTCCTGCCTCTTCTGGCCTCTGGTGGCCCAGGTGCTCAGTGGCTGGTGGCAGCACCTGATCTCTGTCTCTTCTTCCCACGTGCCAGAGACCCCTGTAGTCAGGTTCCAGTACTCACCTGCCTAGTATATGATGCAGGCCTGACAAAAAAATACACTAAGAGACAGAAGAGAGAAAGCGGGGTGCCATCTCTCCACAGGGTGCGCTTTTGACAGAGGGACACCAGTGCTTTTGGATAAGGACTTGGCCTACCCCAGCAAGACTTCCTCTCAGCTAGGTACAGTGCGACAGCCCTATTTCCAAGTAAGGCCACATTCTGCAGTGTTGGGCTGGGAATTCCACATGTCTTGTTCCAGGTGCACAATTCAACCCATAACAAGGTAGGCCAGTTACTATGCCTGGGCTGGGAAACTTGGGGCACATATTCCACACTGCCCAGGTGCCCCAGCAGTGCCCTGCTTGCCAGTGTGCCCTTTATTGGCTGCTCTTACCTCCCTGGCCCATGCCCTCTGGCGATGTCACTGGTGTGTCCCAGGATCGCCTCCCAGTAAACCACTCTTCCTTAGAGTATCATCTCTGGGTTTGTTTCTGAGAGACCCTGAGCCCAAGAAATCAGCCAAAGCCAAGGCTCAGTCATAACAAAAAACGCAGCTGTAGTTGTCCTATGTGGGAGAAGCAAGCCCTTGTCTCACTACCTCCAGACACAGATGCTGGGAGACTTGAACACACACCCTGCACACTGCAGTTGGTCTCTGCCTTTGCTCTGACCACAGCCTGTTGGAAATCAAAATCACCTCCTAAATACAGAGAATTTGGGGGGCCTAAGATGAATAAGGGTTGATCTCATAGAAAGAGAGAAAGCAAATCACTGCAATGCACCAAATGTCAGCCTGGTGCACACGTGTGCATGCGTGTGCGCGCGCACACACACACACACACACACTAATACAGTCATGCAGCCCTGAACAACAGGGACAGGTCCTGAGAAATGCGTCCTTAGGTGGCGTCGTCTTAGGGACACAGATGTATGGACTCAAACCTACGTAGTGTGGCCTAGGACACACCCAGGCTGCACTGTGAGTATCATTTATTGTGCTTAGAGCCATGATGAACAAAACAACAGGAGATTAAATCTAGCACAAGAGAAAATGGTGCGGTCAAGAGATGCAGGCGACACATGGTGTGTGAGTATGAGGCTGCTGCTGGCATAACCCAGCCCAGTTTCACAGTGAGTTGGGTTTTTATAGCAGGAGTGTAATCTAAAACAATGACGATATACTGTAGTCAACACCTAAACCAGTAAATAGTCATTTATCAGTGTTGAGTATCACATCCCGTTGCACTTGGGTACTGTGTGTGTTGACTTTTATACCGTGGGCTGCACAGTGTTTCTATGAGCATCGCACAGTGTTGTGACGTTACAATGGCTGTGGCATCACTAGGCAACAGGAATGTTTTGGCTCCACTGTCATATACACAGCCCGCTGAGACCGAGGTGTTCATAAGCAGCTCAGGGGCATTTATATTCACAGCGAAAACACTGAGTGGTCTGGAAAGGTCCTGTGAAGTTGACCTGATTTGGAAACAGGTCTCACCAAATGCAGTCAAGATGAGGTCATCAGGGAGGGCCATATCCAGCATGACTGGTGTCCTCATAGGAAGAGGACAACTGGGACACACACAGGAGAATGCTGTGTGAAGACAGACACAGGAGGCAGACACCATATGGTGATGGAGGTAAGGACAGCAGTGATGCTGCCACAAGCCCAGAGACACCTGGGTCACCAGAGGCTCCAATAGAAAAAGCAGGGAGGCTGCCCTGCCCCTGCCTGCAACTCTACAGTCTAGGAACCAGACACTCGGATGCATAGTGGGCCTCGCTGAGAATGTGCTTATTGATGGAAGACCTCAAGGACATGAGCCATGTGAACACCTTGGGGAAGGGCTTTACAGGCATGGGAATGGCAGGAGCAAAGGCCCTGAGGCAGGTGTGCTCAGCAGGTTTGAAGCAGAGCAAGGAGGCTGGGGTGGGGATATCACAGGAGGCAGCAGAAGCCAGATCACTGTGGGCTTTGTGAGTCCTGCTAAGGACTTTTGCTTTTGTGACTGTGGAGCTCTCAACAGGCCAACATGGTTTGCCTTACATTATAACAATACTGGCTGCTGGGCTGAGAGCAGGCTGGATGAGCCATGAAGGAGAGCACAGCACCAATCCTGACCAGCTGGTCATCACAATGGCTTGGCCCAGGGTGGTGGCACTGGGGGTGGGGGAAGTAGGCCAACTCTGGATCCATTCTGAGGCTGACAGGTGGGACCAAAGCATTCAGTGTGGCCGAGGGAACAAGAGGATGATGCCAGGGCTTGGCCTGCGCCTGGGAAAACAGATGGAGAAGGTGCAGGGGGGACTGGCACAGGAGGGAGGAGCTCAGGCCAGGGCAGCTGAGGCTGCAGAAGCGAAAGACAGGTGGAGTGCGGGGCCGGGGACAAGGCAGGGCCTATGCTGGGGGTGACATGGGGATTGTCCCCCGAGGTGACAGGGTGAGACCACCTAGTGCCGTGGCTGTTATCCAGGGCGGCCTCTGGCTGGGTCCGGGATCTCTAGTGCTTCGCAGCAGCTGAGGTTGATTAGCTCCAAAGCCCATGGATGCCAAATACAAATCTTACACATCCACCTAGTTGAAACACACTTTTAGCTATGTAGGGCCCACCCATGTCCCCGACACACACACACACACACACACACACACAACTACATCCTGCACTCCTGTGCTGGTCACCTACTGCCTGCCGTCGATAACCTGGAGCCCTGAGGTTCTAAGACCCTCAGCCGCTCCCCCTAGACATACAGCACCCTTCAGTCCCCTCTCTTGGGGTCTACTTTTCCTCCCTGCTCTCCTCTGTGTGGCAACCCCGGTGAGTGGCAGGCCTCTGGACAGACTCCTGCTGGGATGAGTGTCCTCTCTTCCTCACACAAGCTGGTAGTATTGTGGGCAGCCAACAAAGCAGGTGTATGCTGCTGCCACCTTGTGGTCACGCCCTTTCTTTGATCAGCCCCCATGCCCCTGCATCACCCTGGGGAGCAAGGACAGTGACAAGACAGGGAAGAGGTACACAGCTGGGCTCCATCTTGGGCCAGGGTTCAGAGTCTCAGGAATGAGGGAGCAGCGAGAGACAAGGTAAGAGGGAAAGTGGGGACAGAGGGCAGGGAAACCAGGCAAGGAGAGGGGCTGCTGTCAGTGCTGTGGGTGGGCTCACAACCCTGCAGGAGCTCTGGGTTTCAAGCCAAAGCCGTGACTGCAGGCCAGCCCAAGCCGTCCCCACTGTGGCTGCTTCTGGAAGCTGCTCTCCTGTCCCTTCATCACTGAAGTCAGGGATCAGCAAACGCCTTCCTAAAGGGCCCTGTAGAAATACTTTAGGCTTGGAGGCCACACAGTCTCCGTCACAACTCTTCAGTTCTCTCCTGGCAGGATGTAAACCGGCGAGTGACTCTGCTCCCCTGAAACTTCATTTAGAAGTTTGAATTTCATGTAATTTTCACATGCTATAGAATTATTAAACAAAATTTTTTTCCTCTAACCACTTAAAAATGTAAAAACCATTTTTAATTTGAAGGCCAGCCCCTCCAACGGCAGTGGGCCAGATTTGGCCTGCTTTAAATCAATACTATTCTTATTTTTGTCTTCTTGAATCTCCCACCCAGTGGTTTTAGTTTACTTCATCGTATCTCCTACTTAGGGTCATTCACAGCAGATGGGAGGAACTAAAAGCCATGTTACCCACCTAAGTACTTGATTTTAACTGTGTCAATTTGAGTAACAAACACCCAGCTAAATTGGGTTAGCACAGTTCTGGGTGTGGCTGAAGGGATTTACTGAAGACAGAAGACCCACCCTGGGTGTGTGTGGTACCCACCAATAGGCTTGTCCTCTGAATGGAATAAAAGGGAAACAAAGAAGGAAGGCTCACTTCTGTTTCTTCCGAGGAGCTCCAGTCTACACCTTCACCTTGGACGTCATCTCTTGGCTTCCAGCCAAGACCCTTCAGACTTCTGTCTCAGACCCCTCAGCCTCCTGATGTGGACTCACATGGGACACCACTGAGCTCCAGGCCTTCGACTGGATCCCTCAGATCCCCAGGACACAGACAGCCCTTTTGCACTCTTCCACACCTGTCTTTGTGGGCGGCCATTGTAAGCCAATCTTACACGGAAGATTGCCAATTCTTAAGTATTTGTATATCTTGCATTAAATCTGTTTCTCTAGTAAGCACTAACTGATACAATTAGGGAAAGTCCTCCCAGAAAGCAAAGAATCCCTGCTATTTTCTCCATCCTCTGGGTTGATGTTCCCACTTTTCAAAGCTTCTTGGTTTAGGATGGTAACACTAAGTGTACAAACACCCGACAGATTACAACTGCCGATGTTTCAGAGCAAAATGGTGCCCTGTTACCTTTCTGTCCATGTGAAAATGAAATCTCAGAATCTCTCTAGTCTTGCAGAGCAGGCAGGAAATGGACCAGTGTGGTGTCAGGACACATCACAGGACTGGCTGGAGGCCAGCGTGTATTGCACACCCATCAGTTTGGTGATAACAAATAAGGCTGCTCCAGGGCAGGTCCTCATGTTCGTCCTTTCTCCAAAAACCATGGTGGGTCAGTGGAGCAAGAGGGGCATGTACGTTGGAGACCTGGGCAGTGTGACTACTGTGGCCAAGATCGTGTGGCCACGTGTCTACCAGTATTGAAGATCCCCTGATCTCACTCTCAGGAGACCATTCCATCACTGGCCGCAAGAGTTCCTGAATGGAAACAAGTATTTGTTCACAAACAGAAGCATTTGTGAACAGAGGTATCACGGTATTTCATATTATTCTTGCAATAGGTACAACCAATGCTTTAAAACATAATGAAAACACTCCCGATGTCTTTGTTTCACATATTCAGACCAAAATTTTAGCTTTTCTACATACAATCAATAAATGATTACCCAGTAAGATTTGCTTCATACAGTCTGAGTGCACCTCTAAGCGAAAAACACCCTTTTAATGGGCACTACATGGTATACTGCCAAGTATCCTAGTCCAGTGGAGAAATGGGATGGATATTACAAAACGACTTTTGTCTTTTCCTTTCTGACTGCTACCCACTGAAGTGCTATTCCTCATAACTCTCCATGTAACCGTTACCCAAAGTGAATGTTCATTTTATTTTTTTAAAATTTTATTTTATTGGTACATTTTAGGTGTACAATATAATGACATTCATCATTGGAAAGCTGCACCTTTACATAATCTCTCTTGGTTCTTATTTTTTTCCCCCTTCCCCTGCCCTCCCTTCAACCCTCCATCCATCCCTATTTACAAAGATTTTGTTTCCATTTTTTCATTTTCTCATATTAATTCCGTGAATGTTCATTTTATATCACACAAGACAAAGACATTCTACATTGAGTTGGGTGTGGTGTTGCATGCCTGCAATATCAGCACTCTGGGAGGCTGAGCCAAGAGGATTGCAAATTCCAGCCCAGCCCCACCAATTTAGTAAGACTCTCAAAGTACAAAATACAAAAAAGGGCTGGGGATGTAGGACAGTGTGAAGGCCTTAAGTTCAATCCTCAGTACCAGTGTGTGGGTGGGGGGGTAGGGTCCTTTACTTAGCTGCACCCATGAGGGAACACAGCAGTGTTTCTCAAGGGGTGGCTCCCAGGCCAGCAGTACCAGTATTACTTGGAAACTTAATGAAAATTCTATCTCACCCCAGACCCTCCGAATATGAAAAGCAAGACAAAGGCTTGGCAACCTGTTTAACAAACCCACTAGGGGATTCTAAATTTTTAAGTGCTAAGTTTGCAAGACTGTTTGTGAGCCACTGAATTAAGACATCCAGATGAGAAAAAAAATGTTAACTTTTGCTGTAGGTGCTGGTGAAGAGTCTGTAAGTCACCGGGGGCAGCTATATGGCCACACAGGGCCTCTGTGGCTCGAACCTCAGCTCCTCCCTCAGGGACCCATGCAAAGGATTTCAGGAATTGACCAGGACTTAGAAACTGGTTGAGTCACAGGTAGGATTTGATGGGGACCGATGCACACCAGCCACCACTCGATGTCACCTGAGCTCATGGCTTTGTGTCCTTGACGTGCTGGACTGGCTGGGTGTGAGTGATGGCTTTGGTACGTGCCAGGGGCACCACTCCACGTGTGTGCTCCATGACAGACCGTGTGCCAAGGCAGGCTGAAGAGTGTCCCTGTGGTGCCACTGCATCATCATTAACGCAAGTTAGACAGAGCAGCGTAGGAAACACTTTTATTCTTTAAGAAAAGGAAACCACAACTGTACTTGTTGGTAATCACATCAGTTATTATCAGATAGGACATGTTATTAGGAAAAAGAAATCTCATCTTTCAGAGCTGCTCTGGGCTGCACGATCCCTGTCTCTTCTATGCTAATGTGAACAGCACACACAAGCGTGATTACAGAGCAAGATCCATTCTCAACCAGACAAGAGCCTTGGCTCACTCTGAACCTTTGTCACCAGATAGTCAAATAATTTGCTTTGTAGAGCTTATTGAGGCTACATACCCAATCACCACAGAACATTTCAGACCTGTATTAATAATCACTAGAAAAAGGCACTTTAAATGTATTTGACAAGGAGCAACACCAATGCAATGAGAACTAGTCCAAGTCCTGCATGAAACTTTTTCTGTAATTCAAATAAATACTAAATTCTCTCCATGTCTGTGTACATCCAGATAGGTATCACATTCTGTCTGGGTGCATATATAAATGTGTATGTGTACATATCAGCATCTATACACATATATAAATGTGTGTGTCTTTAAGTCTCTACAGTGGAAAAAATGTTTCTTTTAATTAAATATTCCACAAAAATTCCAGTCACTTTATTTGGAACAAAGAATAAGGGAACTGGCAAATTACTGCAAAAAAAGTACCCACTAAATCTTCTATGTAAAAAAAAAAAAAAGCAGTAAATAAATACTTAGAACTCTTCTAGGTTGTCAACTATTAAAATAGTAAATCGTAGCATGTAAGGAAAGCTTATTCCCCTGCAGGGAATAGGGTGGATGTTTTTGGTACTGTAATATGCACACAGCCACACATCCGTATCGCTTGGGTAAAGAGAACAGAATGAACCTCGGAAATTTCTTCTACAAATTCTTTCAGAACTCACCAAGTTTTAGCTACATTGTTATTCCACTTAGTTTATATATAAACAATCTTATATAAATACGTATTCAGAGTGTTAAAAATTTCAAAATATTTAGAAGCACTCCTGGTTTTTGTTAAAGAAACAGAACTGTCAAATCAATCCAGGCCTGTATGGCTACAGTTCCAGCCCCCTATACCACCAGTGTCAGAAGTGGACAGAGGCTGATCCGCCTTCCCAGGGAGGGGTGCACAGACAGGTTGTTATTCCTAAAATATGAAAAAACAACTAGCAATGGCATTTAAAGTTTAATTATTAATGGCAGAATGTCTGAGAACAAAAATCAAAGCCGTTCTTAAAGGGTTAAGACCCAGACTCTGTGCATTTCTGTTTTTTGGCTGCTGGCTCCTCTGTCTTGAGGGACTCTAAAGTGCCTGTGCTGCATCTGAGGGTGGCATCTGCTCTAACGTTGTCCGAGACCACGGTGAACCCTGACAGAAGGTAGCCCCCGCCTCCACTCATCAGCAGTTTGGGGTGACTTCGATCTGGTAAAACCTAATCAAGACAGGAAAAGACACTCACGTTTTCCCAGGATCATAAAGTGCATGCTAATGGCACACTTCAAAAATCAGATCTGAATGAAAAGAGGTGCTCTTGAAGATTTAAATGACAAATTTCTAAGGAGCTCATTCCTTCACCTGACAGTGCAGAGAAAAACTAGTAACCAGTTTAACTAATTTTTTTTTTTCTTAAATAAAACTGAAGCCCTCTTCCTCTCAAACCTAAGGCAAGTTTCTGCAGGCAATGGGCGAATGGCCTGTGCAGCAGTACTCTGGGCCTACACTGGTTTCTTCTGTTGGCTCCAGAAGCTTCGTGGCCAATGATGCATCGTTGGTCTTTGCAGAAGCAGCTCCCAGAAGTACACTCAGAATCTCCTTTCCCTGCAAACCTGCCAACCCCAACAGGAATTCTCTCCTGTTACCTGAACTAAATAAGAGGATTTATTTAGTTCCATAAAGGGCAGGGTCACTCAGGGCTCAACAGCAGTGCTAGCATGGTATTAAAGATGCCAAGCAATGGGCCATGACTGTGGCAGCCTGGAAGTGCCCCTCTGATACTGCTTCCAGAGGGAAATGCCCAGGAGGCATTCAGGCAGCGGGGTGGGGGGGCCCGCCAGCTGTTGTTGCTGTGGGATCCGCTGCAGCATTCTCACTGAGGGGACATGGCTACTCCTAGTTTGTGACGGAGCACAGGTACCAAGAGTACACCATTTCCACTTAACATGGGGCTCTGTTACAGGGAAATCATTGCTCCTGGGCCCTTCAATGCTGGGCTAAGACTTTCAAGAGAGCACTGCAGGCTCTTCTTCCTCCTCGTCCTCTGCCATAAGCACAGCCTGCATCCTCTAATCCTGCTCCCACGCCCCTTATCTTACAGCCATTTCCCTGATTCGTCTCTCATACTGACTTCCGCCTTGGCAGGTCCCCCAGCACCAGTCAACCCTGCCTGGCCATGGGGTGTGAAGATGTCCCAGCAGAGAGAGAGGGGGCCACTTTCTTGTTATAGCTTCTGCTGGTTACCCTCTCCACAGTGGCACCAAGGCCTTGGGGAAATATGAACAACTGTTTGCATTTTAAATGCTGTGGGCTGGAGTTACTGATAATGCAGTCTGACCCGGAAAGAGAGTCAGAAAAAGTCAAGGGCATGTTCTCCCAAGTCACAGGAGGAAACTTTTCCATTGCTGTGGCTAGAAACAGGGAAGCAACTCCAGAGGGCAGCTCCTGGACACATACCTGGTAATTTCGGAGCCAGGTTTCAGACAGCTTGAGGTTGATGACTCCTCCCCTCTCCCGCAGTTTTGTGTAGCATTCCAACAAAGGCTGGAGGCAAAAACAGAGATGGGTTAAGAAATACTTGTGGGGCTATAGTTTGAGAATCGGAATTCAGATGTCAGGATTCTAGAATTACCTCTTTGTACTGACAGTAGACCACGAATGGCCGTGAAGGGGCCACAAAGTCCAGTAAACCCAGCAGCAGTGGAGTGGGATGGAAACGACTTGCCACGATTAAACTGGAAAGGAAATGTCAGGCAGATTATTTCTCTATTCCCCTGACATGGAGTATATGTTTAAAAACACCATTTAAAATGATCATGTACTTATTTATATGATTCATGCAAGGAACAGTTAAATGCAACATTCTGTTGCATCTCTAGAAAATATACACTGGGTTACAAGTTCTCATGGCCCTTAGTAAACCTTGAGTAGCACTTCGTTCTTGATTTTGTTTCTAAATCTGGAAGCACATCTAACATTGTATATGCTGGCTCTGCAGACATCTGAATCTAACTTTCTTCGTTAGGTGTCATTAGGCCCTGCCATCAGCTGTATTACAGCCGCCTGGAGGCTCCCTAGCCAAGCCTGCACACCCACTGGAACTACACAGCCCTGTCTGACACACTGTTACTGGAAAGCATTTTGATTTTCTTCTGAAACTTTTACCACATCAACTTTCCACCTCTGCCAGATCTAGCCTCCTTTCTTTAAAAATGTATCTTCTTTTTTTGAGATGATGCCTTGCTATGTCATCCAGACTGGCCTCAAACTTATGGTACCTGCCTCAGCCATTACAAGCCTGTGCCACCATGCCTGGTTCGGCTTCCTTTCTTTAAAACCCCAAGACAGCATCCTCATCTCCACTCTATTACTCAGAGTAGGCAAGTGGCAAGAGAATGTGAACCCATCTGAAGCAAAGCCCACTAGCACCAAGAAGTACCCCGTGTTCTTGCATCAACGCACCCATCTGCATTTCTTTCACTCAGCAGAGCAGCAGCCTCTAAATGTCTTTTCCTCTGTTCTTCTTGTCTCCTCTGCTTTTCCTGAATCTTCAAGAAGAAAAACAAGAAACCAGAGCACTGAAGTCATTCAGTCTGGTTTATGGAAAACACTCTGGTCTAGTGAAACATTTCAACAAGTTCAACTCAGAGTAAAGCAACAGGAGGAGAAAGATGAAAACACAAGAAAAACCTACGTATTATAAAACCCTCATTAAAGGGCTGAAGCAATGCTTCTGTGTCTAGAGCTCCATCCTAAAGATGAAGTCATGCTGTGTGAACACGGACATGCAGTCCTCTTCCAGTTTTGCTGTGTGTCATCTTCGGAGCTGATGTTCCACAGCAAAACCCAATCTCATTACTTAAATGAGGTTAACTGAGGCCCAGAGAATTACAAGGATATAGCAGCAGATGATGCTCTTACGTAAGCTTTTTTGCTTCCTCTCTCCTTTGGCTCCTTATATTCTGGGCCTTGAGCAACAACTTCCATTGTTTCTTGGTCTTCTGGGTGACTGCTGTCTGGTGCCTCTGTCATGGGGTCCTCAGTGTCTTGTTCAGGAGTCTGCTTGTCCTCGACTATGCCATTACTTTCTTCAATGGAAGTATTGTCTTTCGGCTCTGAAGATAACATCTCAGCAGAAAATGTGCCGTTCAGGAGACTGTCTACTTTGTTGAGGGGGAATTCATACAGACCACTGAGGAAAGACTTGGGAAATCCAAAACATGCTGTTGCTACCCGAATGGGTCCATCCCCAGGGTACAGCTGAATAATGGAGCCAAAACCTAAACAGACAAAAAGAAACAAACATCTACAGAGTGGCAGCTAAACGAATCCTCAGCATCCACTATGTAATGAGACTGAGGTTGTTTAGGGGCTCAAAAATAATGCAGCTCCTCTGGGATCCACTGGATATCTTAAAGCTGCTCATCCCCACTTGACACTACTGTAAAACCCTGATTTGCAAATGTGGATGTCATGTCATAGATGCCTTTCTGCCTTCTCCTAACACGATCCTCATAGGGGGTCGTTGTAAGTGCTTATCTTCTACATGGTCTCAGAACAGATAGGCAAGCAAATCAGGCTCAGTTGTTTCTTCCAGGAGAGAAGACATTCCTAGTAGACCAAATGCTCAGTTACTTCAATTCAGGCCAATAAAATGAGCACCAGGATGCCGGGGATTTAGCTCAGTGGTGCCACTGCCTGCCTTGAAAGCGCAAGGTCCCAAGTTTGATCTCCAGTACGAAAAAAAAAATGAGCATCAGGTATTTTAACTGAAGTAAGTGTTCCTGGAATCCATGTCCTGAAGGTCCCCTCTAGCCACAGGTTCCAAATCGTCCCCACTAGTGCTGAAGCTGCAGGACCATCCCCACCATGGCCCCAACACAGCTGAGGCTGGGAGATGTGGACCCTGAGGAGGCCCCGGCAAGAAACCACAAGGGTTCACCTAAGTCACTTTATTAATCTCAGTCACTCAATCTGGCTTTCTAACAGTCTGGACTTCTGGACCCCTCTCTACTTACATCAGGGTAGGGTTTTACCAAACTTGAAAATGTTCAGCCTTACCTCCCATTCGTTCCATCATTGCACCCAGCACCAAGCCCGAACATGTTTCCATGACGATCATTTTATTGCCGGCACGAATATTTCCCAATGTCAACATCTGCGCTAGTGTATCATATCTCATGTGGCTAAGGAAAGAAAGCGTGATTCATTCACTTTTAGCTAAGGCCTACAACTTTAATCATCATTTTTCAAGTTCTACTTGTTTTATAAAAATTATGTTGATAATTGATTGCTTTGGAGGTGACAGTAAAAGGACTTACAATTTATGAGGTAGGAGGACACTTTATGCAGGTGAGCAAGTTTTTCATTTTACTTAAAATCATGACTTTCTTAAAGACATATTTCCCCCAATTATATTTTTGAAAGGAAACAAAGCGTACTTAATTTTTCCAGGCTCTCTTGCATAATACATAATTGAAAGAATACGAGTGGATGGCTTCAAAATAGTAACGATGGCTTCATATCTAGCGGAATGAAATATAGAACACCAATTTGAAAAAAGGTTTAAAACACTTTATCTTTGGTAATATATAGTACACAAATATAGAAAAAGTCAGTATTTTCAACTGCTTAAAAAACCACTTACTTCTTCTTCTTCTTTTTTATATATTTGTCCTGAGCAAATTCTGTCTTGTCTCGGAATGTTGTACTATTTTCAATTAACTGCTGAACTATTTCCTATAAGAAAAGGAGCAATGGGCCGGGGATTTAGCTGAGTGGTTCTGCTGCGTGCCTTGCAAGTGCAAGGTCCTGAGTTCGATCCCCCATACCAAAAAATAAAAAAGGAGCAAGCAGATTTTCTAAAACTTCACTGCCACAAAACAAAGCTCTTCAAAGGCTGTTTACCCCATAATATATCCAAAGATCTGATTCTCCAGTCCCTCTTTGACTGAAGTCCGAATAGATCAACTCTGTATTTCTAAACTATTCAGAAATTTGTAATAAAATGTAAGTACTATATAACTCCATTGGGACCGTGATAAAAGAACAGACATAAACAAGAGAAGATAGAGGAAATTCATTCCTGATGACACTGGCTGAAAACACTACTGAAAATGAACAAAGTTAGCACCTGGTGTGCACTATTATTAAATTCTCTACCACTAATAACGTTAGTGAGGTCATTCACTTATATTCCTGCATATAAGAAATAAAATTTTGACATTCTGAATGTGATGTGTATTTCTTTTTTTTTGGTACCAGGGATCAAAATTGGGGCCTTCCGCTTGCAAGGCAGGCAGCGGAACCACTGAGCTAATCCCCGGCCCGGGGATGTGTATTTCTAATAATACAACACTTCACCCATTGTCTTAGGTAAAGTGAGCTTTAAAAACCAATTTCCTATACACCAAACAAAAACAAAATAAAAAAATTCCTTTGAGTATTACCTCTCCTTTAATGCCCTTGTCTTTCAAAGCTTTTATGTCATCTTGAGTGAGTTTCTGAGATTTCCCATCATCAATTATATTTCGATTGTCAGTGCCAGCTTCTTTAGTCTCTAAGGAAAGAAATCACTCTATCTCATTTATGATCTGCAATTATTTTAGTCTCTCTTTTCCAAAGTTCATATCCGCATCCAGCCCACTGGCCACTCACGACTTCCATCCCACTGCCCCCACCGCCCTCTACTTCCCTTTCTCACCCCGACTACTCTGCTGCTCTAACTCATCTTCCTGCTCACTCTCAACCCCTTCCTAGCTGCATGGATGCCAGGATGCTCTTTCTTCAGAATGCAAATTGGCTCATGTGTTCAGATGCTTCAAACAGTACAGCAGCTTCCAACAGCAATGAGGAACTATAGCACAGGTGACCTGCAAGGTCACAGAAGATGGGGCCCTGCTTACCTTTGCTTGGCCTCATCTCTTGACCCCTAAGCTTCAGCTACTGTGCCCTTTTACACCAATCAAGGCAGGGCTTTGGGACTTGCTGCTCCCTCTGCCTAGAAGGCCCAGATGATAAATCTCCATTGAGTGGCTGGTTCTTTTCTGTCACTGATCACCTCAGCCAAGCCTCACTGTACCTAATCAGGCTCCAGCATGTGCCCTGCATCTTTGGAAATGACGCTGTGTGCTTGTGGACTAGTTTATTTTGGCTGTTCTCTACCATACCTTTTATTAGTCTGTCTCATGAACTGCTATACTCGTAGTGCCTAATCGTGCCTGGCACCTATTTGGTACTTAGTAGAAATATAGGCATTAATTAAAAAGCACAACAGTACTTTGTTTCACAAATGCTTTTGTTTACAAACTATATGGCTTGCAAACAGAACCGTTTTGGCAAAATTTTGTTTTTGTTTGCAAACTCTATATTGGGTGACAAACATGGCCACAGCCATCTTTCCCACACAAATACAAATGTGGCCATCTTTTCCAAAATTGTAGAACAAATTAAGTTCATAAACCGAGTTATCCTTGTATTTAATTAATGGGTTTGATTCAGAATTTTAACATTTTTAATTACCCAATTTTTAGTAATTATTTTTATTAAGATATTTCATTAAGAATATTTACTTTAATAAATTCTGTAAGCATTTAAATTTCCTTTTTTTTTTTTGTACTGGGGATCAAACTCGGGCTAAATCCCAGGCCCCAGCATTTAATTTTTTTGGTACCAGGAATCGAACTCAGGGCCTTACACTTGCCAGACGCTGTGCCACTGAGCTACATGCCAGGCCCTGTAAGCATTTAATTTCAACAAATAACACTGGCTAAAATGAGATCCTTCAGACAGGCAAGGCACTGTTGCGAGTACCTATGAGTCATATTACTGATATGCACTACAACCTGGGTGTTAAACATGTTTAAGGCCCCATTACAGATAAATATGTAAGAATTAGGGAGTCAAATTGCCCGCCCTAGGTTTCAGGGTAGGTGACGACGCATGTATGCAAACCCAGCCAGTTGGATTCAAAGCCAGAACCCTTAATCTCTCAGCCCCCACCCTGCAGCTGTTTCACTTCAGGGAACTGGAAGTCTCTTCTTGACTCTTTCAGAAAAGCAGAAGGAATTTGTGGGATTAAATATCCAGCTCAAGGTACAAAGCCAGTCAGTGGTGGGCTGGAGGCAGAACTCTAGTGGGTTCATCATCAAGGTAGAACTTGCTCTGCTCTATTAAGCTACAATTCTTAGATAAGGAGTTTAGGCTTCTTCTGGGATAGCCTAGGCTGGCACTCTGGAATACACTGGAAACTGATGTGTATCTAACTATCTAATTGGACAGCATCCCTTTCTTTTTGGGGAATGAACCCAAGGGTTCATGCATGCTAGGCAAGCACTCTACCACTGAGCTATATCCCTTGGTCTCCACCTCCCCACCCCCCCATTTTGAGACAGGCCTGAGTTGGCCAGGCCCTGAACTTGGGATCCTCCTGCCCCATCTCCTCGGTAGTAGCTGGTTATTACAGGCATGTGCCAATGCACCCAGGGACAGCATCTATTTCACACATCCAAAGTGGTGCACCTGAAGTAGACTCTTCCTTCTTCTTCTTGGGCTGAAGACTTCCCCCACCAGTCACTTCAAATGTGGTTCCATAACTATGGCCAATGACGTTGTCCAGGTAGAACCACTGTTTTTCAAAAGTTATTTTTCTGGGGAAGAAAAAGCAAGCAATTAATTGACTTGCTCTGCATTCAGTATACAAAAGACATGCTCATTCCAGTTTATTTCAAAAGTGGTCTCCAATAGGTCCAACAGTGTTAGTTCTGTGAACAAAAACTGACAAATGAACTAGAAAGAATCAGGTTGGTTAGAGATGTAAAATTAATTTAAAAAGCCAAGAAAACATTGAATTTTGGAAAGAGAAAGCAAAAACAAGACATTTCACTTCCAGGACACAGAATTCACAGGCTCTGCAGATTTTCTCAACAGCGGGCAGATTTGCCAAGGTGGCTTGGCCACTGGACATGCACTGCGACACCCCTTGCAACTCACCCTGGCAACGTGCACAGCAGAACAGTCATGGAGATGACAAAGATTCAAGAAACTTTTGGCCTTGGTCTAATGGGCAATTTTACTAGAAAATGATCTAATACAAGCAGACCATATTTACAAGTAAACATTACTAGTACTCTAAACATTTGGAAATGGAACCTAATACTGACAATGCCCTACTGAGGACCAGACAATTTTTGGCTTTCCTCGTACTCAGATTTGTATCCTACTGCAGTTTAAAAAAGAAATCCCACAAAAAACCCTTTCCTTTTAAAAGAAGAATACTAGCATCTACTGCGTATAAACTACAGGTTAGCCAGTGTATGCCAGGTGTGTTTTATACTTTTAATTTCTCATGGTAACCCTGGGACATAGCTCTTTCCAAAGGAGAAATCCAAAGCCTAGAGAAAAGTATACTTCAAGATTCACAGTTATAAGATGCTGGAGCTGGAATTCAAATTGAGGTCTGTTTGATCACCAGGTCTAGTTCTTTCCACTGTATCACAGTGTAACCCAGCAAAGGCCACAGGACCTCAGGAGGCATCAGCTAGCTTCAGGACCTGGTCCTCATCCACAGAATTCTTAACTCTGGGAGCCATACCAATGAGTTCTGTTCGTGCCCCACCTTCTTCCTCTTCCTTTCCATGTGCTCCCGGAGACTCACAGTGTGCACCACTGTAGCACTCAGGCTCCCCATCAAGTGTTCCCACAACTGCTAGGTTCTGAGCATGGCACCTTTTTTTTAAAATTTCTATATCCTGCTACACCTTTGTATGTGTATGTGTTACATCTTTATTAAATGTCACTTGAACTCCTCTGGGTGAGATGTGGGGTGACCCTAAGGGATCCAGATGGGGTCAATTCTTTGCTGGGTTCCCATTAACATTTGAAATATTTGCTGACACAAATCCCCTCAGAAGCTCAAACTCAGCTCTCAGCCCAGATGTACACCCTACCCTCATCCTTCAAGCACCCTAGTGCTGGATCTATTTGATGTGGAAAGGCAGGGAGGGGTGTCACTCAGAGGGATATGGAAGCAACATCTTCACTGGGAAGGAGGAGGATGTGCAGTATCCTCCTCAGAGAGCCAGGACTTCTTCGACCCAATTAGATGAGTGTGGCCCAGAGGGAGGGTAATGAGAGAGTCTGGCCTGTGACGCATCAGAGCTCAGAGGGTCATTTTCTAAACAAGACAGAAATCACTAAAGTGGCTCTGCTGAGAACAGGGACGGATAAGAAGTATTTCCAAATGATGTCATGAAGATACTAGATGTTGCTATATCCTTGGAAGTGAAATATCTCTTTATCTAAAAAAGCACATTCAAACAACCATACTTGAAAATTAAGTAACTTACAAGAACAGTAAGAAAAAGAGAAAAAGAAAAAGTTTCACCTGGATGGTCATTACACAGATTTGTAACACTGGGCTTACTCACTGAACTATGTACTTATAATTCAAGAACTTTGCTGCACTGTGTCATGCTTCAACTAAAAACCTTAAATAATTAGTACTGGACATCTTCAAAAATTATGTACTTGGAAGCAAGCATAGAATTTCTAATTAATTCTAGAAGAAAAACATACTAGCTTCAAGACTACCAAAATATAGCAGTGATGAGAGATAGTTATAAAATTCCTCTAATTTCAGCTACCAAAATGAAATAAAATTTCCTCAATGTATAATTTTAAAATGCTTAAAAGATATTCCATTTCTGTACTGGAAGAAACATCCCTCCTCCGTAATTTTTTCTTTACTCAATTGATGCTTGTGCAAAAAAGCTTGGTTATCACTAGCTTGGTGCTTTGTGCCCTGTTACCTAATTTGGGGGGGGGGTACTGGGGATCGAACTCAGGTCCCAGCCTCTACCTGACTAGTTTTTTTTTTTTTTTGGTACTGGGGATCGAACTCTGGACTTTGTGCTTCCGAGTCAGGCGGTGGTACCACTGAGCTAAATCCCCAGCCCTACCTGACTAATTTTTAATGATACCTGCTTCACTTTAAATACTAGTCAACAGTTCAATGCAAACAATAGTAAAATAATTGAATGGATGTATTTATCAAAAATTCCAAATCTCATGATGCCTAGTTTTTCTGTCTGCAGAAAGCTGTACAGATACTACATTCAACTGACTTCTTTGTCAAGAGTAAATAAGGCTGAGGAGGTAGCTCAGGAGTAGAGCACTTGTCTAGCATGTATGAGGCCCTAGGTTAGATCCACAGCACCACAACAAAATGAACAAAAAAAAAGTAATAACCCAGATCAAAAGAAAACTAGATTAACCTGAGCATCCCAATATATTCTCACCATTAGTAAGCTATTAGTATTTAACAACCTCACCATCTTTTCTAGAAAGTTACCAAGATCCTACTTTTCTAGTACTAAGACAATGTGACACTATTTGGCAAGTGTACAAACCAAACCCAATTTCAAGTTGAGACCTGGAGCACACTGCTTTTGAGTAGTTCCACTTTCCTGGCTCTTGAACACTTTGGTGTGAAGCGAAGGAGCTCCAAGGTGATTCCATGCTCTATGAGAACTTACAGCCCTTTTCTATTTTGTGTAGATAATGTGTAATTGGATTCCATTTAGGTAGAGAGAAGAGGCCAGCTCCAAAGCCATAATAGGTGGAAAGTCATTTTTTGTAGGATTGATCCTGGCTGGGGAATTAAGGAGGAAGGAGGATCTATGGGAAAAAGAGGAAGCTAGGAGTAGCCTCTGAGAAGCAAGGAGGAGATGCCAGACTGAAGGAGTGGATCTACAAGAACAGAGAAAATCCTATGAACCTAAGGAGAGAACTCCATGGAGGGAGTAGGGGTAGGCAGAGGGACGCATCTGGGCACTAGAGGACCAAGAATAGAATTCTGAGGAAGGGACTATGTGGCAAGACTGGAAGGGATGCTAAAGGTAGAGGGCTAGGTATGAAATCATGGAGGGGAACTCTGTAGGAAGACAGGAGGGTCAGGTGAAGTCCCAAGGGTCCAGGATGCAAAAGGATCCCGGTAGGAAAGACCTCTATGCGAGTAAGATCCGAGAGGAGGCAACGAGGGCGGGGGACAGAAATCCAGAGAGTCAAGAATGGGATGCTGGAGGAAGGGGTCTACAGGAGGACTTCGAGAGCGTTATCTAGAAACAAGGGCGGAGGCTCCCACGGTCAGCAACCTGACTTACTTTCTCCGCTGGACCTGCACTGCTTTGAACACATCTTCCCGTTTCAGCACCACGAAGTCGCCGTCGCGAATGCAGTGGTCCCCAGGAAGCGGGGGCTGTGCGCTCGGCTGCTCCCCTGAACTCTCCATGGCACGCAGCCGGTCTTCAGGTTCCTTGGTGTCCCTCCAGCCCCCAGCACTTTGTCCCTCCTCCTCCATGGTCGCGGCAGACAGCTTCGCCTCCCACCCCCCAGAGAGAGCTACACTCCTCCAACAGGCACCTCCCCCACGTGCTGCACGCCGCTTCCGCTTTCCGGCTCGGACCCCAGGACCACTTCCGGGAGACTGGGTGGGGTGTGTGTGTGGGGGGTCCTGCCGGTCTGAACTCCCTGATTGGCTACACTTCGTCCCTCACCTCTATCGTCATTTCCTTAAACGGAAGTTGCATCACAGACGAGCCAAAAAAGAATTTATAGAGAATGAGCGCTGTCTGTGATGCTGTTGTGGCCCTCTGTGGTCCTAAAGCTTTCCTAGGGTGGTGGAAAAACTGAAGTTCCTGAGCAGCTGTGACGGAAGGGACCGGTTCTGCGCTGGGCGTCAGGAGAACTGTTGCTGAAGAAAACCAGAAAATCTGGCAGGGGTCGCGTGAGGAGTTGGAGACTTCATATTCCCTTTGTGTTTCGCACATAAGAGGGAGGGCGAATCGGGCCGGATGGATTAGAGCCTGGCTTTCTCTGCTGTTCTTCCTCTTGCATTTGGTAATTTCTCAGCATATTAACCTCTTTTGAGAAGGGTACGGTAGGTGTTGTTGTCAGGGGAGCGCCTCATTTTGCGAACCCGAAGACAGTTTTGCTGTCTGTACTGTCACCCGAAAACATTGATCTTCATCAGTATGCTTAATTTCTTCGCGCTTTAGTTTCTCAATGTATAATGTATTGTTGGCGATCAAAGTCCTGTCGTTCCCTAAAATTGTGAACTATTTAGTTATTAACTAAATCCTTTTAATAAAGATTCCGGTAGACTCTCGTCATTAATTGCGCTACATTGTATGGGTATATTCTTACTTATTTGTGTCCGTAAGATGTGAATTTTTCTAAGTAGACTTTTAAAAAGAGCAGTTTTAGGTTTACAAAAAAGTTGCAGGCAGTGGATAAGACACTGCAGGAACAATGATCTGTAAGGAGCTGTGATGAGGTATCCTTAGTGTCTCAGAGACAGGTCAAGATTATGTGCAGCCTGCACTACCCCTTAATGAGTCTTAAATACTGCAAGTTATTTACTTGTTTTGTTTTTGTTTCTATCATAGGGGCTCCTTGAAAACTTGTACAATACAGTACCTATTTTTATTCCATGAGCATTTAGTACACGCACTTAGTTAAACATCCATACATTAAAAATGATGGGGATTAGAAAGTAATTTCAGGGGCCAGGGATTTAACTCAGTGGCACGGTGCCTGCCTCACAAGCGCGAGGTCCTGAGTTTGATCCCCCTTACCCAAAAAAAGTAATTTCAGAATGTTTGAGTTTTCCTCTATTGTGTAAAACTTCCTTTTTTTACTACATAGATACACTTTTAGGAACACTATTTCCCATTCCGTTTTTGTGAACCTTTTTCTAATCTCTATCTCTTAGACAACATGAGTGGAACGCATAGAGGCAGAGGATTTGGGCGAGGCAGATTTCAAAGCTGGAAAAGAGGAAGAGGAGGTGGGAACTTCTCAGGAAAATGGAGAGAAAGAGAATGCAGACCTGGCCTGAATAAAACCACTGGAAAACAAACCTCTGGTAAGTGAGGCCAATGATTATTTTTTTCCATGGTGAAGGAAGTAATTCATGCCTCTGAGACATGAAAGTTTAACTCAAAAAAAAAAGTTTAACTCAAATGAGAGTCTTTCATTTGATGTTATTCCTTATTCCTTACCAAGTATTTGGATGTCAATATCCAGATTTTTTTTTTTCCCCGGGGCCGGTGTTGCGGGGGAGCCGGGACTGAGGCAGTGGGCCTTGCACATAGTGGCTCCCTGCCTGGGAGCCTCAGTCCCTTTCTCACTACGCCTCACATCCCTAGGCTACCAGATTCCACACACCCCCCAACCACCTGCTGAAGCCCATGTTTTGGTTCCAGCCAATGTCCAGAATTTTTACTGAAGACTAATTTAGACACTCTGTTAATGTCATGTAAGATTCTCGTTGTTCAAAGGAGAAACAAATTGAGTTTGCTTTGTTTTCATTAACAATTTTTTTTTTTTCAGAATATACCCCACAGCCTTTGCTACTGCAGTCAACATTGGATCAATTCATACCATATAAAGCCTGGAAGCTTTATTTTTCTGAAGGTAGAGTTAAAAGTGCAAAAAGTACCATAAATTATATTTCCTCAACTTGTCTTTGGATGCTATATCTTGTATTATTATAATTCATTTGAGTTACTGAGATAAACCCCTTAATTTTCATTCTTCCAAACAATTAAATCATGCTTGTTAAAAAGCATTATTTTTAGGTTTTTGTATCAGGATAACAGAAGCTGCAGTAGATATTTCAAAAAAGGATTTTAATACAAGGAGTTGGGACTATAGATAGAAGACTGAAAGGGCAGAAAGGGAATACTGAGGTAACCTTCCAGGAAGTAGCAGGAAATAGCAGCCCTTCCAATGGCTGAGGGTTACCAGTAGGGTGGAGATTTCAATCAGAGCAGAAGAGAGCTAGTAACCAGCACAGGTTTGTATAGAAACAGTTAAGGGATCTATCTCCCTTTGGTAATCAAGAACACCAGCCAATATCATGTATCTGTCTATATAGGTGTGGGGAAGTGTCTTTTCTATGCTCTTATAGTATCTATACATTTATTATATCTTACGAACTGTAGGCTTTGTTTTATTCATATATATTTATCTGTGTTTTTTCCCCACTAGACCATATTGCCTGAGGTCAAGGACTCTGCCCCATAACAGCCACTCAGTATTTATTTTGTAAATGAATAAATTACTATAAAAAAATGTTCAATGCAGCCTGTAAAGTGTTTATCCAAAAATGCTCTGTTCTTTCTGTGACACATGCTTGTGCTGCTGAAGGCTAAATCCTCAAAACCTACAAAGGGGACTAATGATTCATTAAAGTAAATTTATGGTATTGATACTAATGCTTATCTCATACATCTGATACAAAAAACTGCTGATGAATGGTTTAATAATAGCCAGGTAGATGAGTTCAACCTGCTAGATAAGTATGCTTTGTCACAGTTGCCTATGACTGTGGATTTCAAACATAAAGCCTAAACTTAGATTGTCATTATGTTTTAGAATCATCACTGCCTTGATGTTCACACATCTATTTAAGTTGTCCTAATAAAGGAGAAATGTATGTTTATGGCTTTTTGTAAATACACACTTGATTTTAGCCAAAAGGCTGAGAAGCGATTGGCTTTTTGTAAATATAAATGCAGTGATCTGTGGCTTTTATTTTTTTGTTTCAGTGAAAATGTTTGTTATTCCAGCCCATAGTTTTTTAACAGAAAAATGGAAAATGCAGTTGTTCTTTGTATATAAGAACTATTTTCCACAAAACTATATTTTTTCTTTTAGTTTAGTTTAGTTTATTAGTACATGTATATAGTACATGTTCACATTCCTTGTGGGAAGCTGGTATATGTATATAACATATATTAATTCCTTTTTACATCCCTTTTCCCTTCTCTCCACCCATCTCTTGACCTTTTTCCTATTTTTTGTACAAGTTTGTAGTACATAATGCTTATATTACTTCCCACAAAAACTTTAGTCACTTGAATTGTCCTAAGATTACTTGTAAAAATTGAAATCCAGTGATTAAAAAGAAGCTAGTATTCTTTAAAAGAAAGTCCATACTGGTAGTACTCTATTTTTTTCCTCGTCAAATAAATAGATGATCTTTTGTTGCTTAAGGGGTATATTACCCAGCACCAACAGTTGTGTTAGTCCCCAAAAGTTAGCTCAGGACACTGTAAATCTGTGGACTGGGCCTAAAAATAGAGTTCAAGAGAGACCTTGGGTTTGACCACTTGTATTTCCAAACTACTTCATTGTACTATTTCTGTGTGAGAGACAAATTTGAAAATATTATAGAACTTTAAGATGTTTAAAAAACTAGTTTTACAGTTTTGAGTTCAGAATCAAACATTAATCTTGTCTCTGCATCTTTGGAAAGAATTTGACAAGTGGCAATTTGAACTGGTAAAATTACTTTACAAAGACTGTCATTGTCTTAGCCATGTTCCAGAATAAAAATTTAGTTCATGTGTCTGACTTTAGCATTGTTATAATGTTTGGTTTAGGCTTATTACGTTAAGCTACTTGAACTGATATGTCCTTTTAAGCATCTAAGACTCAATACAAAGTTTCCCAGACAATGGGACTTTTAGAGAGAGATCTTTGTCTGCATTTCAGAGTATGGCAGGCCTAAACTTGTTTTAGAAGCACAAGTATACATTTCCACTAATTTTTAATTAAGTGTAATCAGAATACAAAAGCAGTTGGAAAAAGATATTTACCACACTTAAAGTGTCTCTTCTGTCTCATGAAATATGTGTTTATACCTACATGATTATTAGTGCTAATGCCATGTTTATTGGATTAGTTTACAGTGATAACTCTCCTTATATTGAGAAGATTCAAGCATTTGAAAAATTTTTCACAGGACGTATTGATTTATATGATAAGGTAAGATTCTGTACCACAGAGCTACCCATCCACCTTTATGTGTCACCTTATTGAACAGCATACTTAAGGTGCTAGTGACTGTCATCAGAGGGGCGGAGCCAGATTGCCTGTGATCAGATCCCAACCCCACCTCTTACTGTAGAGCACAAACTTGGTGTATTGCTTCTCTGTGCCTTAGTTGTCTCGTTTGTCACTTAGAGGCAACGGTATAAATACTCACAGAGTTTTGTTAAGAGGCATAAATTAATATATTTAAAATGTGAGAACCATGCCTGGCACAAAGCCTGTGCAGTGCTTACTGTCATCACCATGTATTATATGCCTTCTGATAGTATGTAATCCAGTGTTCAGTTATGATAATTAAATCAAAAAACAATTATCTTCTAACTTTAATAGGATGAAATAGAAAGAAAAGGAAGTATTTTGGTGGATTTTAAAGAACTGATAAAAGATGATGAAATAACAAACTTCATACCGGATATAGGAAATGAACTAAGGGATGCACCTGAGAAAACCTTGGCCTGCATGGGTCTGGCGGTACATCAGGTAAATATTTATTTTGTTCAGACTTTCATCACATTTTTAAAGAAAGATTTCACAGTGCTGGCACTTTAAGAAGATACTTAGCTTTTATTAACAGATAGAACTGAAATTAAAGGAACTTGTTCTTGAGGAACTGTCCAGCCTCATAGAGAAGCTAAGATAAGGCATGCTAGCATTGTCATTTAGGAATGTAGAACAAAAAGACCAACCTCAGAACTAGGTTTTATGGCATAAGGTGAATCACTTCCCTAAATGTCCCTCTACAAAAGAGAAATAACTGTGTTCTGTGCCTGCCTAAGTTTTTCTCACTGTCAGGTGATACGACATGTGTGAACTTAATATTTTAGGCTAGCAAACAGATTGAGGCTTCAAGGTAGAATAACAAATCTCAGGACAGGCCCCGATAAAGTGTGTGTGTTCAGAGGCAAAGAGAATACTCTCAGCTGTTGAGGAAGAATGGGGAAAGCCCGAAGGAAGACTTGGGACTTACGTCTAGTCTGAAGGGGGTAGGTAGAATTTGGTCTCACAGCAGGAGAGATAAGGACATACAGGTGCAATAGATGGCTCATCACAAACAAAGCCGGTGTATGCTTCTGGAAACCAGGAACCTGCCTATTGTCTTCAGACCATCCAACTTACTATTTCCCCATAGCCACTTCCTTTCATTTTTCTTTCTAAAATGTCCCTTAAGTCTACCTGTTTTCCATCCTTAATTGCCTCTGTCTTAGGCCAAGGCTTTCATTATTGTTCCTGAACGATTGCCTTTGTTAAATATGAAAGTGTCACTCCATTTCACTACATGAAGCCCACATCATTTAGGTGACATTGCAAGCCTTCCATAACCTGAGTCAACTTATCTCTCCACTACTGTCCATGCACTGACCCAACTAGACTGAGCTTCCTCCAGCAGTCTAACTGGACGGTACTCATGCTGTCCACCGTAGAATTCCCTTCACCACTATGGCCAGATTCTTGTGGCCAAACTCAGCTGTCTCTCTGTAAAACTCTTCTTATGACTCCTTTTCAAAACTCACCATATTTTGCCTTTAAATCTTTACGGCATTTACAATAATTATAGTTGTATATGTGCATCTTATGTTGCCTCATAGATTGTCAGTATACTGTTTCATACACAAGTAGGTATTAAATATTTAATGTCAGCTGCCTAAGAAACTGATTTAGGGTATTTCATTTTTTTTTCTATCTTGATTATTCAATGAATGTGAAGTAGAAAAATATTTTTTAAATAGAATCCAGAGGGTAATGGCTTTGGGAGTGATATAAGGTCTTTTAATGTTAAGCTCATTTGGGACAAAAGGTGGCAGACAGGGATGTTGAATTTTCCAGTCCAGGGACAGCAAAATCCTAAGTAAAATAATCTGCTATAAAATAAATGGTCATAATTGAATATCAGACTTTAAAGGCCAGTGGAGTCCTATTTACTTTCTGTTTTGTTCTGAACTAAACTTCAGGTTCTGTACAAAAGAATTCTGCTTAAAGAGAATATTTTTTATCTTTGAATAAGGATCTGTTCTCTTTAGGTATTAACTAAGGACCTCGAAAGGCATGCTGCTGAATTACAAGCCCAAGAAAGATTGTGTAGTGATGGAGAAACAATGGTAAATGTGCCACACATTTACGCAAGGTAAGGAGCTTGCTAGTATTATTTAGAATAGGGCATTGACAGCTGTTTAAGAATGAGTACCCCAGGCTAGGTGTGGTGGTACACACCTGTAATCCTAGTGCTTGGGAGGCTGGGGCAGGAGGATCACCATGAGTTCGAGACCAGTCTGGACTACATAGTAAGACTCTCAAAAAAAACAAAAACAAAAACCAAGTACTTCATTTTATAGAAACCAGTAAACATAGTATGAATTTCTTGATAATTTCATCGATCATCATACCAAAGTGAACACCCTGAAAATTATTCAAGGAGATGTTACGTTTTCTGCCCAAATAAGTTGATTTCCCAACATACTAAAAACTTTTCCTTGAAAATTTTTGTAAACGTTGGTTTTCAATATGTACTTACCAACACTTTGGTGTATAAATTTAATAATCCATGTAATATACTAATTTTGGTAAATTATTAGGTTTCTACTAGATCCAAGGGAATAAATGAAATTTTTAAAAAACATCTTTATTGGGCCAGGGATTTAGCTCAGTGGTTTCGCCGCCTGCTGTGCAAGCGCAAGGGCCTGAGTTCAATCCCCGGTTCCAAAAAAAAATCTTTATTATATTTTAATATTTCAAATTCATTGAGATAAGAAAATAAAAACTCATCGGGGTTTATTTTTCTTTTTTAAAAAGAAAACCAGAAGTTGTTGAATCTGTAGATTTCTTGGCTATTTTTTCTTTCTTTTGTAGATAGCAGTCTATGGATTTTTTAAAAAATAAAAGGAAGATAAAATTTAGTTGGGTTTTTTGTTTTGTTTTGTTTTTTTGCTTTGGTACTGGGGATTGAACTCAGGACCTTGCTCTTGACAGGTTGGTGCTGTGCCGCTGAGCTAAATCCCCGGCCCCTGGCTTTGCTTTTTTGAGATAGGATCTTGCTATGTGGTGCAAACTGTGCTTGAACTCACTGTGTAGTCCAGGCTGGCCTCAAACTCATGGTGATCCTCCTGCCTCAGTCTCCTGAGTGCTGGGATTACGGGTATAATTTACTTCTGGTGAGATTTCTGATATATAACAGGACAGTATGGTTTGGTAATTTCATAGTTACACCTAAAAAGAACTTGTGAAAATACAGACATCCCAACTGTAGATTTATAGATGTTCCTGTTTTATTTGTAGGGTGTACAACTATGAGCCCTTGACACACCTGAAGAGTATTCGTGCAAATTACTATGGAAAGTACATTGCTCTGAGGGGGACAGTGGTCCGCGTCAGTAACATAAAGCCTCTCTGCACCAAGATGGCTTTTCTTTGTGCGGCTTGTGGAGAGGTTCAGAGCTTATCTCTTCCAGATGGAAAATACAGTCTTCCCACAAAGGTGATATATTCTTTAATTGCTTCTTTATCTTGGCAAAAAGGAAAATCAGTTTACTGAAACATTTCCCAATGTTTCTAACCACAGAGTTTATTTTTGTTTTTTTAATTGTGAAATACTTTAGGGTCCAGGGAATAATAGATATAAACATTCTTCTACCCGGCCACTCAGAATTAGCATTTTTCTGTTCCAGGTATGTTTTTAAAGTCAAAAATATTGGTTTCTCTTTTTTTTGTACCTGGGATCGAACTTATGACCGAGAACGCCTTATATGAATGGAGAAGATACAATGCTTTCTCCTTAAGGTGGGGAACAAGGGCAGATATGCTTACTCTTTATCTGTCTGTTAAACTTTGAAACCTAGTCCCCACCAAAATAGTCTGGCAATAAAATGACACAACTAGGATAGGATTGGCACGACAGAAGCAAAATCTTTATATGTAGATGAAATGATCATCTACAGAGAAAATACTAAGAAATCTCTAGGAGCCCCT